CTGACCGAGGAGGCGGAGGCTGCAGTGAGCCACTGTATTCCATCTTGGGCTATAGAGTAAGACTCTGTGTCAAAAAATAATAATAAGTAAATAAATTTAAAAAATATTCAAATAATACCTTCATTACAAGCTTTACATACTAGATAAAAATTTAAACGGTTTTGTATTCTTCCAAGTTCTTCCTAAGTACCTTGAGGTTTATTATATGAAATCTGTGTTTTAGCTGCTGTACAGTTTTCTAGGCGAGACTTAATGAGTGATCCACAAATTCCAGTCTGATGTGACTTGTATTCGTGCGAGTGTTACTTTAATGAAAAGGTGGTTAAAGGTGTTTAATCTTATAAACCAATGTTACCTTAAAATTTATTTATTTATTTTTATTTTCTGAGATGGAGTTTTGCTCTTGTTGCTGGAGTGGAATGGCGCGATCCTGGCTCACTGCAACCTCTGTCCCCCAGGTTCAAGTGATTCTCCTGCCTCTGCCTCCCAAGTAGCTGGGATTACAGGCATGCGCCGCCACACCTGGCTAATTTTCTATTTGTAGTAGATACAGGATTTCACTATGTTGGACAAGCTGGTCTGAAACTTTTTGACCTCAGATGATCTACCCACCTTACCCTCCCAAAGAGCTGGGATTACAGGTGTGAGCCACTGCACTGGCCCAATGTTTGTTAAAATTCAAATTCAGGCCAAGTGCTGTGGCTTACGCCTATACTCCAAGCATTTTGGGAGGCCAAGGCAGGCAGATCACCTGAAGTCAGGAGTTCAAGACCAGCCTGGCCAACATGGTGAAACCCCATCTTTACTAAAAGTACAAAAATTAGCCAGGCATGGTGGCACATGCCTATAATCCCAGCTATTTGGCAAGCTGAGGCATGAGAACCTCTTGAACCCGGGAGGCAGAGGTTGTGGTGAGCCAAAGTCACACCACTGCACTCCAACCTGGCCAACAGAGTGAGACTCTGTCTCAAAAAAAAAAAAAAAAAGACATATAGAAACCATGAGATAATGACTAACCAGAAAATGTTTATGTTACCTATTGAGTTTTATGAGATGTGGTATAAGGGAATGGACAAAATCATGAAGGGGGATTAATAAGATAGATTCTTAGGGAAGGCTATTTTTTCAAGTTCTTGGCATTATTATTTTTAATAGCTCCACTGTGTTAAAAGTTTCAATCCTGGCTTATTTATGCTACTTCTGAATGAAGTACTGATGTTAGTGTTTTTTCTTCTTTCACAATCTTTAAAATCTAGAATTTCCTGGTTGTTCTCATCAATCTTCTATGTGTAAAACCTTTGCTTCTTCACCAGTATTCTGTTCTTCCTTCATCTTTCACTTATCACTTCACATACCATGTTCATTCATTCCTGACTATTCCCCGTTCCTCAAACATATTAACTGTTACTTTTTCCAAACCTTTTATTTTTGCTGGAATGAGCTTTTCCTTTAAGTCCAAGCTCAAATGTTACTACTTCCATAAATATCAGTCAGGACTAATTTCTTCCTCTTATTTTCATAAGACTCTTTATACTGCTATCCTCATATAGTATGGTGGCTAAAAATGCCTAATTTCAAAGATAGGGACCATGTCACATCTATCTTTTACTAACCCAGATGGTGTCCTTTTTACTACCCTTTGTAACAAATGACCAGATGCTGAGATCAACTGTTTTGTATTTCATGTTGTCAGATTTTCAAAATGTGTGTGGCATTTGTAAAAGACTGTGTGTGTATGTGTGTGTGGCAATTAGTAAGCATGGATATTAATGGAGATTAGACTCCATTAAAGAATAAGGTGGCCAAGCATGGTTGCTCACGCCTATAATCCCAGCACTTTGGGAGGCTGAGACGGGCAGATCACCTGAAGTCAGGAGCTTAAGACCAGCCTGGCCAACATGGTGAAACCCTGTCTCTACTAAAACTACAAAAATTAGCTGGGTATGGTGGTGCACACCTGCATTCCCAGCTACTGGGGAGGCCTGAGGCAAGAGAATCACTTGAACCCAGTAGGTGGTGATTGCAGTGAGTCAAGATTGTACCACTCTACTCCAGCCTGGGTGATAAGAGTGAGACTACATCTGAAATCAAAAGAAAACACAAGATGTCATTGGAAATTTACTGATGCAGTTTTCATGATGTAGCCAGGCGTGGTGGTACGCACCTGTAGTCCTAGCTACTCAGGAGGCTGAGGCAGGGAGGATCCCTTGAGCCCAGGAGCTCGAGGGTACAGTGGGCTATGAACATGCCACTGCACTCCAGCCTGGACAACAGAGTGAGACCCCATCTCTAAAACAAAACAAAAAAACAAATTCCATGTTGTAGTGCCCAACTGACCCCACATTAATTCACCATGACATTGTTTCTATAGGTATTTATTGAAAGCCTTCTGTCTCAGACCTTTTTATCATAATAGAGAATTTTAGGCAGGAGACCTCCAAGACAAATCTCAAAAAATTCTTAAATTTAGGTAAGTAGAAAAAAATAAGGCCGAGGCAGGTGGATCACCCGAGGTCAGGAGTTAGAGACAAGCCTGGCCAATGTGGTAAAACCCCATCTCCAGTAAAAAGACAAAAATTACCCCGGTGTGGCAGCACACGTCTGTAATCCCAGCTACTCAGGAGACTGAGACAGGAGAATCACTTGAACCCAGGAGGCAGAGGCTGCAGTGAGCCCAGGTCGTACTGCTGCACTCCAGCCTGGGCAACAGAGCAAGACTCTGTCTCAAAAAAAAAAAAAAAAATCAGAACCACATTTGCACATAAATTGGCTTTGTTTTTTAAAGTTTTCTTTCAAGGCAACTTATAACCTTGAATATTTCTTGAATAGACTACAGAAGTAATATGCATAACATTTTTAGTTTCTTAGGGGGATATGACTGCTTTAAGTCAAATTATTTTAAGTCATATTACAGTGAATTCCGCCCGATGTATAGTTTGTTTTCATTTTAGTAGACTGTAATTCTGCCAAGTCTGTTATAAGAAGTTATTATCCCAGTCTATACAGAACCCAAATTCTGATGCTGCAATAGATGTATGCATGTGTTGAGGTGGCATTTCCAACACAAAAAAGGCGTCATGTTCACATTTCTTTTCCATTCCTGTCTTTTATTTTCCTGAGGGTGGAAATTTGTTGTTGTATGTTTTAATGGTGTTTGGAATTTGGGGTATAAATTTGAAATACTTGTCATTTGATGAACTGAAAATAGTGTAAAATGTTCATTTTTAGATTAAAAAGGAAGAAGTTTATTCTGTTCTCTGCCTTTACCTGCCTAAGTTTAAGTAGTATAGGAAATTCACAAGGAATAAAGGTTTAGCAAACAGCATATTATCAATTAGTTTATTACAGATAAGGACTAGAATACACATTTTTTTTCCTTTGGTACAAAGTTACATTGGTGAGAAGGAAGTCATTGGAAACACGACCATAAAGTACTGTTGCCATAGAAGTAACATCATTTTTACAAAAACCCTTCACTGTTAAGGGATTCACTATAACAATTTTTACTTTGGTTTTGGCTTTTTTCTGTTTTTGGTTGGTTTGGTTGTGTTTGTTTTTTGGGACAGGGTCTCACGCTATTGCTTAGGCTGGAGTGCAGTGGCACTATCTTGTATTTTTTTGTGGCGACAAGATTTGGCCATGTTGCCCAGGCTTGTCTCAAACTCCTGAGCTTACCCACCTCCATCCACCCAATCCATCCACCTCCCAAAGTGCTGGGATTATAGGCATGAGCCACCACACCTGGCCAGGATTTTCACTTTGTTATTTTTAATGTGTCGCTTTATTACTAGATGCACTTTGTAGTTACATTTTTGGAGAAGATGGATGCTCAATTTTATTCAATTATTTGGTCCTTAAGCAGAATTACTAAGGCTGCCAGACAGCTTTGGTGATGCTGTTGTTTATAATCAGTACTTGAAATTGCCTTTTCCATTGCTTTAGGAATTAGTGAGGATGTAAATGAAAACTGATAACAAAATACATTTATGGTGTTATCAGGGAAACAATTTCATTGCCCTTTAGCTGTTAAAGTCTTTATATGTGGTGCTCTAATTCAGTTCATCTTTGTAAAAACTTTTCAGTACTCTGAAGCTAGATGATTATTTTTACCTAGTTCCTTAAAACACACACACAAAAAAAACTTTGGGTAGCATCTAGTAATTTACAGGAGTCTTTAGCTAATTAATATACCTGAAAGAATCCTCTTAGGATCAGGAGACAAAATACAATTCATATTCACTACTTAGAGCTTATCATTGCAGATTCTTATTTAAGTGAATAAGTTTACTTGATAAATGTATGCTGTTAACGTACCACTTAAATTACCACCAGTCAGTTTAGGTATTTGCTTTGTGACCAAGATTACTTGATTTGTTTAATGATCTGTCAAGTGACCTTAATCATACAATGAATAAATAATCTAAAAAATTACTGTATAACTCCATTCGCCTGTGTCTTCAACACATTCAAAACTGGTTATCTCCCCTACTCTTTTTTTTTAATCCCCAGCAGAGACCGTTTTATGGGAATGGAACCTCTGCAGATGCACAGAGCCCCATGCTTGTGTTAATGTTCTGCTGTTACCAATTTGAAATTCTTAACAGTTTTTTTTTTTTTTTTAACAAGGGGCCCTGCATAATTTATCATTTACTCTGGGCCCATGTTAAATAGCAACTCCTGGTCCTGAGAAACTAGTCATCATAAAAGATTGTAATATTTCCTGAATAGTAATTGTTCTGTGTTATCTGAGTATATAACCCTATAAATTTTCACAGCTGTAGAAGAAATCTTTGTAGGCAGATTTTATTTCAATATATTTTAGTGAGGGAATGTAGGTAACGTAGGCTATAAGTGTTATTTCATAATAGATGGTTTTAGGGATTTGCCATTTAATCAAAATTTTGTTATTTTAGAACATAAAAGTACTTGCTTAAATTTTGTTTAAATCTTATTAGATGAAATGAATTTAGAGCAGGAATTAATTCATTGTGCCATTACAGGTTATCAAGTTATACCCAACCAGCAGCAAAACTACCAAGGAATAGTTGGAGTTCAGCAACCCCAGAGTCAAAGCCTAGTCAGTGGCCAACCCAACAGCATTGGAAATCAAATTCAAGGAGTGGTCATCCCCTATACTTCAGTGCCAACGTATCAGGTATATTGTCTCTTTTAAGTACTTTGGTTAGAGATGATTTTGAATAAATTAGCTGTACAACTATATCTTCTGTGTTATCCTTTTAATACAAGAGAAACACTTCTGTAATATACTTCATAGTCTTAAGAGTTTTATTAGTCATAGCAGCTTTGTTTTATCCTCATGTTATTGCATTATTCATTTACTTTATTAATATTTAGGTTATCTGAAACACATTGATATTGGCAAATAAATACTGCCTGGCATTGTCTTATGTTTCCAGCAATATAGGTAGGTGAGCAAATGTCTCGTTCTATTCCTCAGCTCCTTAGAAAGTCTTCATTGCTGGGAGAGAGAAATAGGATGGAAAACAGAGGTTGGGGAGTAGGTATTTGAAATAGTGAGATACAGTATAGACCATAAATCTGTAGTTACAGAATAGGGAAGTATGTGCAGTTTCCTGTGCTCTGACTGATTTTTTCCTTCCTCTCTTCCATTCCAAAAAGCAAAGATATGTCTCTTATTTTAAAATGTTACAGATTTTAGGCCAGGCACAGTAGCTCAGACCTGTAATCCCAGCATTTTGAGATACCTCGGCGGGCAGATTACTCGAGGTCAAGAGTTCGAGATCAGCCTAGCCAACATGGTGAAACCCTGTTTCTACTAAAAAAAAAAATAAAAAATACAAAAAATGTCTGGGCAAGGTGGTGGGCACCTGTAATCCCAGCTACTCGAGAGGTTGAGGCAGGAGAATCACTTGAACCCAAGAAGCAGAGGTTGCAGAGAGCCAAGATCACACCACTGCACTCCAGCCTGGGCAACAGAGAGACTCTGTTTTACATTAAATTTTACATTAAAATGTTACGGATTTTAATGTATAGTTCTAAAGCAGAAGTACCTGTTATTTCATGAATAAGCAGCTATCTTCAATATGATTCATTTTCAAAAATTTGTTTTACCTTTCTTTATGGAATTACCTGCAAGAGAGTTTATTTTATTAGCCTAATCATTTTTCATAGCTGAGTCTGATTTTAAGAACTCCAGGCCAGGGCCGGGTACAGTGGCTCATGCCTGTAATCCCAGCACTTTGGAAGGCCAAGGCGGATGGATCACTTGTGGTCAGGAGTCTGAGACCAGCCTAGCCAACATGGTAAAACCCGTCTCTACTAAAAATACAAAAATTAGCCAGGTGTGGTGGTAGGTACCTATAATGCCAGCTACTCAGGAGGCTGAGACAGAAGAATTACTTTAACCTGGGAGGTGGAGGTTGCAGTGAGCCGAGATTGCGCCACTGCATTCCAGTCTAGGTGACAGAGAGAGACTCAGTCACAAAAAAAAGAGAGAGAACTCCAAAGACTGCTTTCATTCATCTCAACAAGGAGAGAGTAAACTACTTGGGAAGTTAAAATGTACATGCATTTTATCTAAACATGTGTAAACATGTGGCTAACAGGAAAGTCTGTTGGCAGCGTTAGCTTATTTCTGACTGCTCATGCTTTAAAAATTTATGGAGACTGTTGGGTTCCGTGGCTCACTCCTGTAATCCCAGCACTTTGGGAAGCCAGTGTGGGCGAATCACTTGAGGTCAGGAGTTCAAGACCAGCCTGACCAACATGGTGAAACCCATCTCTACTAAAAATACAAAAATTTGCCAAGTGTGGTGGCGCATGCATGTAGTCCCAGGTACTCAGGAGGCTAAGGCAGGAGAATTGCTTCAATCTGGGAGGCGGAGGTTGCAGTGAGCCAAAATTGTACCACTACACTCGAGCCTGGAAAACAGAGTGAGACTTCATCTCAAAAAAAGTTTATGGAGGCTAAAAACATGAACATTTGCAAGGCTTTGAAAAAAAACCTTTTTCTCTTGAAATTGTCTTTCTTATTTTAGGTTTCACTGCCTCAAGGTTCTCAAGGAATTGCCCATCAGACTTATCAACAACCTGTTATGTTCCCTAATCAATCTAATCAAGGATCTATGCCTACAGCAGGAATGCCTGTTTACTATAGTGTAATTCCACCTGGTCAACAAAATAATTTAAGGTGAGTATGACTAAGTAACCTAATCTTCCAGCTTCCCATTGTTTACCAGGATTATCATCTGTTGCTAGTTTTAAAGTTGACTAAGGGGCATTACTTGAGAACATTCTCTAATGTAGAATAGAAACTATAATGCAGTCTATTTTTAAAATACTTCTTTCGGCCGGGTGCGGTGGCTCACACCTGTAATTCCAGCACTTTGGGAGGCTGAGGTGGGTGGATCACCTGAGGTCAGGAGTTCAAGACTGGCCTGGCCAACATGGAGAAACCCTATCTCTACTAATAATACAAAAATTAGCTGGGCAAGGTGGCACAAACCTATAATCCCAACTGCTCGGGAGGCTGAGGCAGAAGAATCATTTGAGCCCAGGAGGCGGAGCTTGTAGTGAGCCAAGAATGTGCCATTGCACTCCATTTTGTGTGACAAGAGTGAACCTCTGTCTCCATTCATTGATTTATTCATTCATTTCAGTAAAATCGAAACAAGCAAAGCAGTCCATATAAAAACTAAAGGCAAGTCAAATCTCTCTTGTGCCTAAAAATTAGGCCAGTCTTCTTTTACTCACATAAATGGAGTAACAGTTGGCTATAGGCTTTGGAGATTGGAGTGTAATATTTAAGATTTTCATAGGGGTCTGGAAGGATTGTATTTCCTGTGTATAACTTTAGCAGCAAAATATCTTGCTGGAATATTTCTGGCTTAGGGAAGCTCATCTTTCATCAGTAAGGCGAGCACGTGTTGTCCCAGCTACTCGGGAGGCTGAGGCAGAAGAATCACTTGAACCTGGGAGGCAGAAGTTGCAGTGAGCCAAGATCACACCACTGCACTCCAGCCTGGGCGACAGAGTGAGACTCCGTCTCAAAAAGAAAAAAGAAAGTAGGGTGGTCTAAATTGTGAGAAAATATGATTGACAGGTGGGAAAGGTGATTGGCAGATTGGAAAGATGAGGTAGTTGGGGTTTCACCACAAGCATAATCAAGCTACATGGTTCTTCATAGGACATGTGTGCAGAAAATGGCGCTAACATGATCTGAGGGTGGAGCTTTAGGCCCTCTTATGCCAAAAGGTCACTCTCTGGGTACCCGCTCAGGCCTAGTTGAAGGGTTTGCCATCACAGCTTGAACTAGACATGAGCTGCCCCCTAGATCCTGAAAAACAGCTTTAAACACCTGTTATGTAGTTACCCACAGTCAGAAATGCTATCTATAAAGAAAATAGAGTTTAGTTATATATTGCCTGGCCACATGACTTCCTAGTGGGAGTTTTAAGATTAGCTAAAAGTAAGCAATTAAAAGCAAGCAAAGCCGGTTAAGTTTGGCAGACTGATTAGGTTAGCCCGCTGTTTCACCTGGGTGGTTGCCAGAGGGGCAGTTGTCCTCCTTTTAAGAATGGGGACTGGCTCTTGAAAATAGTTTTGCAGTTCCTTGAAGTTAAATATATAGTTACTATATAACCTAGCAGTTCCACTCCTAGGAATATACTCCTCCAAAATTAAAAACCGTGTTCTCATAAAAGTGTGTACACAAATCTTCATATGAATATCAATATTTCATAATAGCCAAAAAGTAAAAACAACCCAAATGCCTGTCAAGTGATGAATGGATAAATAAAATGTGGCATATTTATGCAATGGAATATTATTTAGTCATAAAAAGGAATAAAGTTTTATAGATGAATCTTGAAAGCATTTTGCTAAGTGAAAGAAGCCACAAAAGGAAGGCCATATAATGTATCAACGTATCATTCCATTCATATGAAATGTACAGAATAGGCAAGTCCACAAAGACAGAAAGTAGGGTAGTTTTTACCAGGAGGTGGGGGATATTGGATATCCCAAGTAGGGTAGCTTTTACCAGGAGGTGAGGGATATTGGATATCCCTTAGGGATATCCCTTAGGGATATTGGAAGGTATCGAATTTCTTTTTAGGATGGAGGAAATGTTCTGGAATTAAATAGTGATGTTAGTTTTACTGTATTGTAAATATACTAAGTCCCACTGAATTGTACACTTTAAAATGGTTAAAATTGTGCATTTTATGTAATGTAAATTTTATCTCAATGAGAAAATTAAAAATAAAGTATGAGGGCATTTTCTTTTTAGAAAAAAAAAAAGAATGGGGACCTAAGTTACCGTCACTGATAAGAGGTTGTTAGGCCGGAGGCAGTAGCTCACGCCTGTAATCCCAAAACTTTGGGAGGCTGAGGCAGGTGGATCACCTGAGGTCAGGAGTTCGAGACCAGCCTAGCCAACATGGTGAAACCCTGTCTCTACTAAAATACAAAAAATTAGCCCGGCATGGTGGCGGATGCCTGTAGTCCCAGCTACTTGGGAGACTGAGGCAGGAGACTCAACTTGAACCTGGGAGGTGGAGGTTGCAGTCAGCCGAGATCATCCCATTGCACCCCAGCCTGGAAAATAAGAGTGAAACTCTGTCTCAACATACGTACACCCATACATAAATAAATAAGATGTTGTCATTCAGTTATGGTTTCAGATGTCATTTGGTGGTATAGAAGGGATTGACATACCTTGTTGCGCTGGAAAACGGGGGCTTAGTTCTGAGTTTGCCAGAACTCGCCCTGCCCCAAGAGGATCTCACATATTTTCTCTCTCCTTCCATCTTTATGGCTGCCAGTGTTTCAGTACATGATTAAGGAGGTCCAGGCTTTTTTTATTTTTTGAGACAGAGTCTAACTCTGTTGCCCAGGCTGGAGTGCAGTGGTGCAAGCTCACCTCACTGTACCCTCTGCCACCTGGATTCAGGCAATTCTCCTGGCACAGCCTCCCAATTATCTTTGATTACAGGTGTGTGCTACCATGCCCAGCTAATTTTTTTGTTTGTTCATTTTTTTAGTAGAGATGGGGTTTTACCATGTTGGCTAGCCTGGTCTCGAAATCCTGACCTCAAGTGATCCACCTACCCAGACCTCCCAAAGTGCTGGGATTTCAGGTGTGAACCACTGTGCCCAGCCTGGCCTAGGCATTTTAAATGGCAGATTGGTTGTGAATCTCTTAGGCAACCTTGCAATTTAATATCATACTGAGTCGTAGGTCCTTTGAGGCAAAACCACTGCACAATGAAAATAGAAATATATACTTGGTTAAATTTCCCATTTGTTGTATAAGTTTAAATTTCATAAATAAGAAAAAAAAAAAAACTCCGAATCTGAGTTTTTTACCCTGATAAATCTAAGTTTGGGATCTGGAATGCCAATTCAGTTTCTGAATCGTCAGAGGCAGAATTCTGTGCAAAAGTAGAGTGAAATGAAAGGTGAGAAAATTGTTGAATTATCTACTTTTTGAACCAAAGTTTAATTTTTTATTTATCAGAGAATATTACCAAAGTCATCATTTCTGTGTAGGGCAGAGGCTGAGAGATGGGTACTAAGTTATCTCTGAAGGCCTGCATACTGGGAAGAGGGACTTTCATGAGGGAAGGATATCAAGCATATAAGAACCTATATAAAGATGGCTTAGCCTTCCAGACTTTTTCATTGTTTGTTATATTTGTCAATTCCTTGAAACAAAAAAGATTTTGTGTGCTTGACTTCTAAGAGAGTTTGCCATAAGAATGTGGCTACAGATGAGAGAGCGTAATTATGTGCCTGCCTCTGTAGTGAGCGTTATTTTAAATATAACGGCAGAATCCAAAAGCTGTCAGGTGGGTGCTGATGACTACACTTTGGAAAGATCCTTGGTTTTAGTCCCTGGCCCTGCTTCATGAAGAAAATTTTAAAAGTTGAAGAGCTTTGGCCTTGGCCTGAGGGATAGCCTGGAGCACAGAAAATTAAAAGGTAGATGAGATTCTCCAACAACCTCCAATGTGAATCTTAATTAAAAGTCTTTGGTTCCGGGCATGGTGACTCCCGCTTGTAATCTCAGCACTTTGGGAGGCTTAGACAGTGGATCACTTGAGGTCAGAAGATCAAGACCAACCTGGCCAACATGGTAAAACTCAGCTCTACTAAAAATACAAAAGTTAGCCAGGTATGGTGGCGAGCACCTGTAATCCCAGCTACTCGGTAGGCTGAGACAGAATTACTTGAACCTGGGAGGCAGAGGTTGCAGTGAGCCAAGAACCACAGCACTTCAGCCTGGGCAGCAGAGCAAGACTCTGCCTCAAAATTTTTTAATTTAATTTAAAAGTCTTTGGCCAGGCACAGTGGCTCATGACTGTAATCCCAGCATTTTGGGAGGCCAAGGCGGGCAGATCACCTGAGGTCAGGAGTTTGAGACTAGCCTGATCAACATGGAGAAACCCGTCTCTACTGAAAAAACAAAATTAGCTGGATGTGGTGGTACATGCCTGTAATCCTAGCTACTTGGGAGGCTGAGGCAGGAGAATCCAGTCGCTTGAACCGAGGAGGCGGAGGTTGCGGTGAGCCAAGATCACCCCATTGCACTCCAGCCTGGGCAACAAGAGCAAAACTCTGTCGCAAAAAAAAAAAAAAAAAGTCTTTGGAATTACTCACAGCTTGGGGCTGTGACCCAAATGAGGCAGATAAACTTGAAATAAGGTGGGTGTAAGCTGACAGTAGTGATTGGTCACCATGTGACAAACTAGCACTGATCTGTTCCAAGTATAGAGTACTAATATGAGAAATTGAATAGGTTATACATGAAGCTGGGAATGTATATTCTGTCAGATTCCTATCTTGGCACATTTTGGACTGGTTACTTGGTAGGAAGTCAAGTCACATACATATTTAATTAAAGATCTCTGGCTGGCCACAGTTTCTCACGCCAGTAATCCCAGCAACTTTGGGAGGCCAAGGCAGGTGGATCACTTGATATCAGGAGTTCAAGACCAGCTTAGCCAACATGGTGGAACCTGTCTCCACTAAAAATACAAAAATTAGTCATGTGCAGTGGTGGGTGCCTGCAATCACAGCTGCTTAGGAGGCTGAGGCAGGAGAATCGCTTGAACCTAGGAGGTGGAGGTTGTAGTGGACCAGGGTGGCACCACTGCACTCCAGCCTGGGCAACAGAGTGAGACCCCA